GTTCAAAGACACCCAAGCCTCATGCTTGAAATTCAAGACCACCTTTCTGTTTCCCCTCCACCCCGTGATGAAGGGATCAAATTCACCCTTTGCTCTGACTTACCTTTTTTCTTTTTTTAACTGGAAAACCATTAAAGACTGACATGCTGTTCACAGACATCTCACAGCTCTGAACTCAGTCTGGTCTTGGTGAAAAGTGGCCCCATACTTTACACTGCCCAACACAAGTCCAAAACAGTCTGCCTGAATTTTTTTTCCCTTTTTTTTTTTTATTAACTCAGACAATATTAAAACTGGGAAGGCTGCATTAGTACAAATAAAATGTCTCCTGAGAGCATTCAAAGACCACAGTCAGTATGAAAACAGTGTATACGGAAAGCAGAATCTACTCAGTTATAAGGCTTAATACGTGGACACAGCAAATGGGAGACTAGGCTACTTCTTTGAGCAGACCCCCAGCTTGACCCTGACAGTATGGGAGTTTTGGACAAAGGTCTCCATCAGACTGATATTACCCTGTCCTGCAACGTATCCAAGGAAAAATCAAATGCCTGTGCATTTTCTCAGCTTCAGCAGTGAGAGCTTCCAATAGCAGACAGACAAGATTATGTTCTCACTGTGTTTGTCTCCTTTCTTCCCCACCTCGCTGCTGCTCTTTCTTCTCTGGCTTCACACTACACATTCTGGTTTCACCATTCCAAAGCTCATCTTTGCTTGGCCTTATGCCTTCTAGGAAACAGTCAAATTCCAGCAGCAGCAGCCCAGCCCATCGTGATTAACTTTTCTCTGAAACACCATTTCTTGAAAGCCATCTGAACAACCCTTCAAAAGCTCTCAACTAGAAAGGAATTAGTACTTACATTAAGAACCTTAACCTCTCCATTTTACACTTTAGCTGCTTTGCTCACCTGCTCTGCTTTGAGTGATAACTTTATAACTTAAGAATTCAAGGAGGTATCAATAATAAAATAGGCGCATGCCGAACTGGCATATACTCTGTCTTGGGGACCTAAGAATTTACACTGATGTGCAACCTTGGTCATCTCCCTTTGATCCGAAAGCTCCTTTAGATACACACTTTGGCCAAACCTTGAAGAATACCAGGTTTTTGAATAAGAACTGAAATCAGAACTGCTTTTATCAAGCACCATCAAATGAAAAAGGTCATTCAGAAATCTTGTGTGATTTAATAAATACATATGTAGTTTAGCTGCTTGGGTTTCTTATTAAGGAACTTAATTGCTGTATTTTAGTTTACTTGCCATTTCTTAAATAAAAGCATTTTCATTCTTTATGAGGCAGTCAGCAGGTGTACACCTAACTTTATGTCAACATCTGAAAACTACTTATTGCTCATTTACCTCAGAGAAAATTAAAAAAATTGGACCACATCTCAAGAAAAATAAATAAAAGGAGAATGCTGTGGAGCTAGAGCAGAGGTTTTAAAAAAAAAAAAAAAAAAAAATCAAAAACAGGAGAGGCTCTCTTGAATACTTTTTCCAAGCGCTGTTGTTATAGGTGTTTCCTGAGGAAGTGACTGACTTTTCCCTTCCCTACCCGCTTCAAGATTTTTATTTTTTTTTAAAAGCAGAGTCTGAGAGGTGTAAGCAAACCACAGCAAGCAAGCATAGTGGACAGTTATCTAGCTTTGCTTCTTGAATAAACAGATAGGAAGAGAAAGACTTTTTTTTTACACTAATAAAGCAAAGCAGTGAATAAAGGTAGTCATGTGCTTAATTTTAGGCAGGTGCCTTGCTAAGCTATGGCCTCTACAAGGCCACACAAAAGCATCAGTGAAATTAAATGCCATCTAGTTGTTTTATGACTGTGCTTCAGTGCAGTGCTCTTGCAACTGGAAGCCATCTGGCTGGGGATGGTTTCACGTTCTCTGATTTCACAGCTCCCTGCCCAGCAGGTCAGGGCACAGGGAGGACTCTAGGACCTCCAGCAGCATGATTCTACCTGAGCTTTCCCCTTGGATTAACATCCTTACAATCAACTACGCAGAGTTGCTGAAGCCAAGTCTTGGTCCTTTGATACCCTGAGTGCCAAGAGCTCAGAGAAAAGCTATTACAAGGCCCAAGCTTTGCTCTTCATGAAAAGATTCCAATTAAGCTCAATCCAGTGTATGCCCAGGTTGGATCCTACAGGATTCAGGCCTTGGTGCCAGCTCTGTGCATCCTTAGAGGGCAACTGCCCACAGAACTGGCTAAAGGCAAGCACCGAGCGTGCAGAAGCACTAAGCTGTAAATCAGGGTAGAAGGCAAAGCCCAGATCTTAACTCCCAATGCAGACATATAAGCAGCTGGCAAAGTTGTCCTCTGGTTTTACACCGACACACCTCTGCTCAGCTCTGCAGAGTGACTCCAGATTTACACCAGCACCACTGAAAATCAAGCCAGCAACCCCTACACCTCAGCTGAGTTTGCTAGTTAATCAGGACAGGGGCAGCATATTTTGGGCAACAGAATTCCATAGGCTTTTGCCATTGTTCCTTAGCCAGCATTGATCAGAGAACTAAAAATGGTTGCCAAGTCCTCAAAAGATTTTAGTGTGAGCGATGCAGACCACATGTGCTGAATGGTAAACAGTTCTTGAGGATCAGAATAAAAAGGTCTTTATAGTCCAAGCAAACAAAAGTAAATGCCAGAATCTAAATGAAATTGAGCTTTCCAAAAGCCTGAGGCTACTAAGATTTCAGCACTGAAAGTGTAGTGTTGTTTGCTTCTTAGAAAGTCCGACAGAACATCGCAGTATCGAGAGGTGACCCTGTCCTGTTCCCAGCAAAGCAGTGTCCTTTGATTCTCTTCTCGTTTCATCCCATCTGAAAAATGTCAGCCCCAACAGACTGCTTGAGCCTCCTATTAAAGCTAAGTGTCATTGATTACTTTGTAAGTGGGTAGCCAGCAAAGAGGGGAATGCTGCCAATGAAGTAAATACCATTTATTACTGAACAGAGTAACATGGAATACAGCAATCCAGCCACACCGCCCAGAAAGACAGTCCTAACACTGAGAAAACTTTGAAATACTTTGCTATTCAGTTTTAAAGATGTCTGTGAAAAAACACAGACCGAATCAGAGGAAGAGTTGTTACATTTGGGGACCACAAGTCCCCAAGAACCGAGTAAAAGCATGTGTGTTGGAAAGGACTCCAATTTAGCCACTGTAGAACAACTAGTGCTGTTCTGTCCATGCTGGGCATTTAAAATTATTCCACAAAAATCCCTGGTCCTGCTTCAAACAACCTCAGCAGCAGATCCTTTCAGATCACTGAGCCTGTGTGCAGAAGACTGCCTAGAATTTTAATCCAGCTGAGAACCAAAGGCTCCTGCAGGATAAATCCTCATGCAAAAGTCCCAGTTGGCCCCCAGACACGTTGCCTCTGTGAAGGCTGATGAATGCCTGCAGCTTTGAGGTTAGACAGCTTTTGGTTTGTTTAAACTAAGTTTTGGCTGCTGCAGCATAAACCTACTACTGCTCCTGCAGTCCTCATAGGCTGTGCGGGGCTGCCTCCTCCACTCCAGCACAACTGGTGTTGCAGCTGCCAGCAGCTGCTGCTCGGATTCCTCCAAGTGCATTTACTCCTTGCAGCTCTGCCCATGGCTTCAGAGCACTGCTGGCACGGAGCAGAATGGAACACGCTGTCTCCCCACCACCTCTCAGTCCAAATCCCTCCTTCTTTGGCTCACTGCTCAGTCCTTCCCTATCTCTGTTGTTTTCCCAAGGCACTACCTCGCTGATTTAAGTGGCACTGTTCTGATTCCTTCAGTATGAAAGCACAGGTCCAACCTGTGCAGTAGGTCTCTACAACTGTGGTAAAACAGGGCATGAAAATTCCCTGAGGAAGTACGTCCCATCTCTGTCAGAAAACTTGCTTTATGTGGGCAAGGACAGCTCGAATCAAGGGCAGGGGAGAGGGACAGGACATGAAGACATGCAGTGTCACTAAGGAGTTTGGAAAAGGTAAGGCAGTTCACACAAGGAGAGAGATTCTAAGCCCACTAGCATGGCTGGGAAGATGTTTTAAGATTAGAAATGCTTTTACACTTGAAGCTCATCCCACCCCATACAAACCACAGAGGTACCATTTTGGTATTACAGAAAGAAGTCCTGTATTGTATCCTCTGCCCCTTCTCTTTCTCTCCAGATCTGTACCCAGTACACACACCAACTACGGTAGAGCTGACAAGTTAAGAAAGCTTGTAAAGTAGCACCAACCCTATAGTTCCTTAGTTAGCTCTTTTATGGCCCTATGGGTGAATAGGGGAAAAAAGTATGGTTCACCTTGGGCCTCTTTTTCCCCACAGAAATTCTTTCCAGTATTATTTTACAGGTTTGCACATTCCTGCAGTGAACAGAAACCCCTAGCATAACAGGCATTTAAAAAACATGCTAAGCTACTGTGAAGTAAATTACTGACTTAACAGCCAGGCACCTACAGGTATAATTGGATTTCATTTGAAGAACAAATTAAAGCAATGTGCATATTAGCCTCTGAGTCTGCAAGGGGCAGAGAGATTCTGGAAACTTTCCAAAGTGCATATGATTAGAAAAGTCTTACCGAAAAGCCTCAGAGATAAGAGTCTCACTGAAGAAGGACCATCTCCCAGGGATGGCCAGACCCATGCCTAGCTACAGCTGTCTCCAGGCTCCCACAAGACATGCCCTGTGAAGGCTGCATTTGAACTATGAACTGCAAGGCAGGGGAAGAAAACGCACATCAGTGGAGCCTAATGTGGACACACAAGGAAGCCGAGGGATGGATACTGCGGTTACTGGCTCACGATGTTTCATATTCCACTGAACTGCGAAGTTAAGAACCCTTTTCTGAAAGAAAGCCTAGAGGGCAGCCACGCTGACTTCCCTCTCCTCCAGTATCAAATCTAGCACTTCACTATATCTTAGGGCTTTAGTAGTGCCTGTACTCCTGTCACATCTCAGTTCACACACTACTAAAGACATGGATAAAACCCCTGAGAAACTGAAAAAGGCACTCACCAAAATTTTCTCCCAGCAAGATACTCTGCTGCAGTGACAGTATGCCACAGGTCAGTCTCCTCAGATGTCAGTAATCACCACTGGAGGAATGCTGACTACAGGATGAGTTTCTTCAGGATGTCTCTTCATAAAGAGATGGGACTAGCTTCCTTGCTGCTTTGACTTCCTCCATCCACACCTCTTCTCATGCTTGCCATCTCCTCTTTTCTCCTGCTAAAGAGAAGAGAAAAGGATGAAAACAATTAACAATTAACCAGCTGAAAAAGAAAATAAATAACAGCCACTGATGGCTTGAAAGTTAAAGCAAGGAAGTAATTTGTGGAACAGCTGAATGAAGGCGGCATCAAGGCACAGTGTAAAACAAACAAACAAAACAATAAACAGATGCAAGAAGTAGAGTGAGATAATGAGAGAGATAATGAACAGTCTGTTAGCAACTTTGAGGCTGTCTTGGATGTTATCCTCCAGTTATTTCTAGGTTTCTCTTTACAACAACCCTGTCCCTAGAAGAGCTGCTTTCCTTCAACCCTATTTAATTTCTGAACACTCTGCTTCATGAACAGGGCCCAGATCTCACTGGTGCTTTCTCTCTTCTGACTGAGAAGGCCACTCAAAACCTCAGCGCTCAGCTCACCCAGACAAAGCACCTGATTTCAGCTGCGCAGCCCAGTCCAAGTTAGGCAGCGAGTAACTGCAAGGCTGTTTTTTTCTTGACAGCACTGTTCACAGCCCTGCCCTGCGGAGTCAAGGGACTCAAATGACTGTGCTGAAGGGCACCGTCATCAGATCTTTGGAGAAGGGGAACAACTTGACATGAAATCCTGCTAGAGCGGTGCAGAAGGGCGGCTTGGCTGGTGTCGATTCAGAATATGAGACTGTAATAATATTTGCTGTCGGTTCAACCTCATATACTGCGTACAAAAGCCTCTGTTTGAATAAAGGAATAGCCAGCGAGACATGAACTGAGAAGAGCCAAGAAACTCAAAGCAAAGTCCCAATTCTCTTTGTCCGGAAATTTAACTGTTTTGGAAAGAAACAAAAACACACCAAAGGTAGACATAGAAAGGGCAGGACAGATTTCTTGCTGATCTTTCTCATCTTTCCTTGACATTATTTAAGAAAGAATTAGAAAATGTGCGTTCCACAGAAAGGGTTCAAAAGATTATTTTTTCCCCTCATTTAGGGGGACTTGTTTGGCTCTCTTAGACCAGCCTTAGTTTCCTGGATAAATAGAATTATGTTGTGTTTTAATAGCACACAGGTTAGAATGGAAAGAACCAGGAATCAGGCAATCTAGGCCCCACCCTACCCCTAGGACAAACCACTTGCTCATACGGCTCACAGTCAGTCACAAAGGTACACATGCCTCTGCCTTTGTACCTGCCTAAGCCAAAACACCTTCAGTATCTCCCAAAGATCTGCCTAAAATGTTTTCAGAGAGTTGGCACGTAGCACACTGAATACCAGAGCCTTTATTGATATCTGATCCTGGAACACCAGAAAATCATAAAGTTGATTATCAGGAGAAAGGTAAACATGGTCCAAGGCCAGAGGAGTATCGGGATGGAGGAAAGTTTCTCAGGCTCCCACCTAGACCAAATTACTTTTAGCACAGCATTCAGATGACTTCTGCCAAGGCAGTTGTTTTTGTAGCTAGTGACTCAGACTGACCGTCTGGGAGACATTTGAGCCTGTACACAACAATAAATATAGCAGGTGATCAGTTTGGTCATATGAATGCTGGTAACAAAGTTTTCAGGGCAACAGAGACCAGTATAGCAGTGCTGAGGCACCAATATTAGGATATTCCATTTGACTGTGTTTTTCCAAACATGGTAGAGAAGGCCCAGGCAGCCTTACCTGCTCCAGACACTACCTCTTTCTCCTTGAGGTGTATTTAGCCAGATGGCAGGTATTTTATATTTAGAAAAACATTCATTCAATAGGAAAACATTTCTGCAGGGTTGACGTCAAAAGGCTGGAGAGGGCAGTTAAACACAGTTCAAATGCAACAGTCTAAGAAACTGAGCAGCACATCACTAACAGTCCTATGAAGCACCTACAAAGTTCTGTCAGACTCCTCCAGACACCTGATGCTCTGTTCAAAAAGCAGCAAGAGCAAACCAGTCTTGAAACAGGCAGAGAGCCTCACATAGATCCAGCCAGGAAAGCAAGAGAAGTCTGAGGTTGCTGTGACCTAAAAGGCTATATTTATTCAAGATAGTTCCCTTACTAAAGGGGGCATCCTCCATGCAAAGATCTGGCAAGGAGCAGCAATAGGCAGCTGCTCCCTACAGGGCTGGGTACCAGATTTCAAGCATAGCTTGTGCCAGGCCCCTGGAAACCTACTCCCAGCCCCACAATACCTGTAAGGGGCAAGCAAGGCAGACGTAGTGGCAGCATGCAACTTCAGCCGAGTCCAGATCATCATGAAAAAAACAATGCTGATGCAGCAGGTCACACATTACTACAGAAAGCCTGAAAAAGAGATAGAGGCCCAGGTCTGAGCTTATATACTGCCATGCAGCACAAAGGCAGAGAGGGGGTGGTAGAGGCCCCGGGTGAGGCTGGTCAGGATTAATAAGGCCTATTAATGTTCTCAGGTGCAGCTGGCTGCCTGAGCTTGGTGGATTGGGTAGAAGTGGGGGCTGCAACTGTAAAAAAGAAAAAAAGAAAAAACAAAACACATGAGGACAGATTTCAGCTCATGTGATTAGAGTTTATACTAAAAATAAATGAAGAGGTTCCTCCTATGTGAGGATTTTGGCAGGTTGAAACTTGGTAAATGGTTTGTCTGTGATATCTCAATAATAGATCCTGCTACCAGCAGCTTCTCTAGCTTCTGTCAGATATTGTGTTGTTCCCATTCTCCAAACCACTCCTTATTTCAACTATGGTGATCTGCATCTGTTTGCTAAAGAGAGAAACTGAACTGATCACTGTTAAAGCAAACAGCAAAAGAGAGTACTATGACCTCTATGATACAACAGGAAAACATGAGGCACAGAGAAGTTTCAGTAACCCTGCTGGTCTAGCCTCCTGGGGGATCCCTGTCTGGTGCTCTGTTACATCATGTTGCCTTTAATTTTATTTACACGCTGCTTTCCTTCCTCATAGACCAAGATTTGGAACCTAACATCCTCCTCCATGCTTGCTGCAGTTTGAAAATTGGATGCAAACCCTATCACTAAAGCCTATTTCAAAACAGCTAAATAGCTGACTAATTTGTCTTTTCTATATTTTATTTTTATTTTTTAAACCTCCAGGTCTATTCATAGTTCAGTTGTTTTCCAGAGACAACTTGTTGCAGTTTTCTTTGGTTTGAATGGGGCTTTGAAACTAGTACCTAGGGTGCACCACACTTCTACACCAGATCTTGAGGAACCAGCAGGGTAATTTATGAGACAAGCTACTAGTCTTCAAAGGATAACAGCTTTTTAGCAGAAGTCCCTTTTCTTCAAAGGAATTTGCCTTTGCCTTATAAACTTGCATTTATATATATAGTTTTATGTATATTTATAAATAAAACCAGTATTTATTTTACACTTATCATGTCTGCATGATGTGTGTATAAAGGTCAAATGAAAGCAATTGTCCTCAAAGTTTTGGAAGAAGTATTGTCTGAAGACAACTGCTCCCAGCCCCTCAACAACCAAATGAGGGATTGTCACACACTCCATGGAAGCAGCCAGCATGGGCTGGCCTCCCACTGTCCAGTGCTGGAGCGCGAGCAGACAGCAAACCAGCATGTGCCAGAGAAATTTAACCTGTGGGGGAACTCTGCCATCAAGGAATCTCCGAGGAAAAGAAGCTCAAGCAGATAATTAGAAAGGCAGGAGTGCAGTGCTGCCCTGGGAAGTGGTGGCTCTGCCCTGCTACGCCCCTTTTGTGACTAGATCTATCTGGAAAATACCAGAATGTTCCTAATTTGCCCCCCACAAAAAATCCTTAATGCTCTCCCCTGCTGCTACAGAGAGGGTTGAGGAATGGCCCTGGATACAGCCTCTGGCCTCATCTCTCTGCCTTCTTCCTATAGCAAGGCTTCCCGGGAAGCAATCTGCCTGCCTGAGCAGGATTGCTTGGTCACTGCAGTGTGCTGAAGAGCAGCCTCAGGTCATGCTCACAGCTGTGCTTCCCATTCACAGCCTCGATGGGTGACACACTTGGCCTTGGAGGCAGACGAGAGGTGCCTCAGAAACAGTGGTGATACTGTCCTGATCCAACACTGAATCCTGGCCCCACCAAAAAAAACCAAAAACAAACAAACAACAACAACAACAAAAACAGGACAGAATTCTCAGAGGCTGAAGCAAGAGAGTGCAGTCATAATGAGGCAAATGGTGCATTCTCTACACCAGGCAAAGATCATGAATGCATCTGCCAAGACCTCTACATGCTAAAGGATACGAACAGCCTGGGAACAGCCTGGATGTGCAATGCAGTGCTTCCAGATCCATCTTCTCTTCCACGTGTTCCCTGGAACACCTCTCTCTTTACTTAAGGAAAGCTGCATCCTTACACACAATGCCTTCTGCTGAGTGCTGGGACAATGAAAATGGATCACAAGCATTGCTGGAATTAGTCCTAAGATGGGGACTCAACCATTCTGGAGCACAGATGGGGTCAGGTCAGGTTTTTCCCTACAAACAGGAGAAGCCATGTGGTTTTCGTATAATTTGGAACGTTTTCTTACAGAATGAAGATTGATTAGATGTCTGGAGTTCCCCAGAAACAATGTTGATAGTGTTAGCAGCCTGCACACTACAAGAACCCATTCATGAAAAAAAATAATCCTCATTTTTTAAATCTTTTTTTTTTTTTCTTTAACTTTATGTTCTTGCAAAAAGAAGCTTATTGGGTAACTATCAGAACTCCTCTTTCATTACCTTGTCATAAATCCCACAGGCTCTGAATTCCTTTAACAAACTCTCAGTTAAATTGTGACCTGCCTATTCTAATAAATAAACCCTTTTTACCAAAAAAAAGCTGGAAACAGCCATGAAGTTGCTCCCCTTACCCTTACTCCAAGTTCTGCTAATTGAGACATCAAAGCAGATGGAAAATCAAGGTTGTGACTGTACAATCCCTGAACATTAAACTCTCTCTCTAGACCATTTCCAAACAGGGCAACTAAGTTTTGTCAACACAAATCTCCCTCTGAAGTTTCAGCCATATGTTATATTCTTTTATCACTGTTTCTGTGAATGATGAAACAGCTGCTGTCTTCACCCTGAGGTGGCTGTACCTTGGGGGCTATTGATGTGTTCCTGGTTATATCTCGTGGCAACTCTGCCTGTCAGGCAAACTCTGACATCCTAACCCAGCTCCATGTCAAAACCATGCTGTAGCTATAAGCAGAGAACATACTGCCCCTTCCCTCCTCAGTGGTCACATGGAGCAGTGCCTAATTCACAACAATATGTAAACATTTCACTTACATCCCACGAAAAGATAGTGCATGGCCTCTGGGGCCAGAAAGGATCCACATCTTTTTTTTTTTTGTAGCTGGTTGGATGGGATAACGTATGTGTACCCATGGTAAACCGCAAACAGAATGCACAAACTAAGGTTGCTGTTGGGTAAGAATGGATCATGTGGTGCTTGTTTTCCCCCTAATTTGCTGGCATTGTTTTTCTGCTGATGAATAACCCCAGTGAAGTTCCCTGGCACATTTTCACTCAGATTTATCTCAGGCCTCTGAACACTGAACAATTAGGAGAGAGACTGAAATGGAACCAGGTTTCAGTGAAAAGTTAGCACCTACCACGCGCATTTAAATGCTCTATGCACTGGACAACTGAGTATGTTTAGGACAATATGCTGATCCCCAAAAGGCTTTGCAGATTTCCTTGTAAAGCAGACAATGTCCATTGACCCAGTGCCATCCTTGGCCTACAATGATGCACACCTACTGCAGAGACCCAGTGAAGTTTGCTGGGCATCCATGTCCTGCAGCAAGAGCCCAGACAGTCAACTTGGAGCACCAGCGCTTCTCTCCAAAGCTTCCTGGCAGGCTCTGACTTGGAGGAGAGGGAGGGAGAGAAGAAATTTGAAAACACCCTTTCCTCTCTCAGAGGAGTGTGCTGCAAACAGCTCTGCCTGCCAGCTCTTGCGGTGTAGTTGCCAGGCAGTAGTACTGCTCTGCAGTCCAGGATCAACAAACTACACGTTTGTATTCTCACCAGAGCCAGCATTATTACTGCCACAACTTAACACCCTTCAACAGAAACTGCTGCAGCTGTGAGAGATGCCTTGGGAATCAAGACAATTGCAGCAACCAGTGGACGGAGGAAGCAAGAGTGGCCGCTATAAACCTCATGGACGAGGCAAACACTCTCCTTCCAGTTATGGGTAGGAAACAAAATATCCAGTACTTTGATGGATGTAAAAAGATGTGTAGGAAGGAAACGGACCAACCAAACTGAAGATTCAACTGAAGGTGCTGCAGAACATGTGGCCACTTGTACAACCTCAGCAACCGTAAGTGACCAGTTACTTGCGTTCAGCTTTAAAGACTCATCAGCACTGTTAAACTCTTGTGTCGGTAAAGATGAATTGAAATGCTGGAAACACTTTGCTTTTTCTGTGCACAGGTCAGACTCAGGCCATTCAAGACAGTTGGAGCAGGCTCCAGATGAAAGAGTTTAGGCGTGGTAATTACAGTGTGAGACTCGCTGTCAGTGTTTGTAGAGCAATCTTTTCATGATGCATAGCAAGAGGAATGGGTGGGGTGAATGAGATGATAACAATTCATTGCAATCAAGGGTACTCTTCTTTCTCTCATTCCAGTGAACCTGTGAGACCACGGACAGGATACAAATAATAGAAAGCACAAATTCTGTGCTTTGAGCAGTTCTTTTTCTCTTGTGGGACAGCACCTTTTGCTGGCCCCCAAAACTACTGGTGCAGACAAACTGCATCATGGAGGGACTTCTCCGTTTCCTAAACCTGAGGATGACAGCATTACATATTCCAGGAGCTATTACTGCTGCAAAACCTCCTGAGCAGAAAACCAGATCATCTCCTGAGACAACATCTTCCATCTGGAGCTGATGCTTCACAGGGAAATTATACATAAAGAAATCTTAACATTGAGCTTGCAGAATGCTCTCTCTCTCCTTGTTTATTTCAGCAAACAGAAGATAACTGGCCACAGAGGTGGCAAAATCATCTCATCATCTTCTCTCTGACAAGCTCGTACCTTCATACCATCGTGGTGGCTAAAAAGCTGTGGATGGCTCCAAATCAGGATTTATTTTTAGGTTTCCAGACTGTGTATATTCCTGCCAAAAAAGCCTGGTCCAAAGTTTATTCAAGTCCACGATAAAAATGTCTAATGGCGTGAATGACCTTTGGATCAGCTCCAAAGAGTGTGCACTGATATTAGCACTGGGGCTGGCTGGGGATTCCCTTTGGGAAGGCTGCCCAGTAAAGAGGTGGTTTTCACAAAATTGAAATTTTCAGGGAGAAAAACATCCTGATTTTGAACCCTCTTACCTTTCAGAAGCAAGAAATAAAAATACACTTTTTTTTTTTTTTTTTAATTAAGGAAAGTCAAGAAGCAGCATTTTCTACAGGGCCAGTTGGAACAAAATCAAAAAACTATGTTTTGGTTTGAATGTGTTCAATAAACCTTTAAAACCTCATTTTCCTATAAGTACACTGCTTCACTGGGGTTGTGGTTTAGATGTCTCATCTTTCCCACAGGCTCTTTCCTTGAGGACTCCATTCTCCTTGATGCAGAATGGACTCCAAGGTCTGCGAGACATGATAGCAGCTACACACTGTCTCCTGAGAAATATGGGTATTAAATTCTCAGATGAGAGCTGCCAGGAGGAAATACGATTCAAGGCTGATGCTCAGGGTTGAATGTAGTTCAAGCAAAGCGTTATGGGTTAATTGAACAAACTAAAGGGAAGCATGTCAACTTGGAGCACGGCAACACATACTTTTGATCCAAAAATGTCAGAGTAAAACTTACTGACCTCTGCAAACCAAGATGTTTTGAAATTTTTTGCCATGAAAAATTTGGAAACATCAGTGTTTTTTCACAGCCAAAGAGGGAAACAAAGGTTAAAAATTCCCAAGACAGAAATTCTGCATTTTATTTCACTCTCAGTAATGCTACAAGGAAGCAAAACTTCATGTCATTGCAAGTACCAAGAAATAGGAATGGTGAGACAGAAAGATGTAAGAAGCTAACTGCTCTGTAGCTGAAAAGCCCTGCAGAACTGAGCGCCAAACATCTACCCTCTCTCAGCAGCTGTCTGTCCCGTATTTCAAGGGTCCTTTCCCAAGTTAACACACAATCCCCCGAGCTGGAGGGATTTGAAAGTTGCCAGCTGATCAGAGAGCAGATAGTTTTGAGTAGCCACTTCCCTGGATGCCCCAGAACACCATGGAAGGATGCATCTCTAGGGCTTTGGAGAAATCAATTTGACCTTCATTGCACCATTTTCTTCCCTGGAGTTATTCATGGTTCATCTAAGGGAGGCCAGCAGTCCTCCAGTCTCACATACTCACCACCCAGTTGACAGGCAATAAAGTGGCATGTGTGGCAAGCACTGGGAAAATCACCTTTTGATCTCATGGAAGGTGGTCCTCAAACCAGGTCATGCTTGAGAGAACTGGCAGGGAGACTGAGGAGAGGCTGGGCTGCAGCTGTCTGTGCTGGGGCGGTCTCCAGTTCAGCAGAATATTTGCCTTTCTCTTGCTGCCAATTTTGGAGCCTTTATAAATACCACACCTAAATAAAATGGAATAAAATAAATGATCCTCTTCAGGCACCCCACGCCCTTCCATCATCCTCCCTAAGAACATCTCGACATCCAAGGGCTGCAGAGATGCACAGGGGAGAGAAATTATTGTTGAAAATAACTAATATGTGGAAGAAAACTATTTATGCTGGCTCTGGAGCAAGGACAAGGTTCCATTACCTACAGATAATCAAGTGAAAAATGTCATCCCAGGGCCTGCTGTGCAGTCAGCAGTGACTTTTGCAGCAGCACAGCTTGTAACTTGCAGCAGCAGAGATGCAGTCAGGACATGGTGTGGGGGAGCAGCCAACCCCTTCCATGTCACTCATCCAGCAGTAAATACTTCACAAGTATCTCATCATGTCCTCACTAGTAAATCTGTCCCTTGATGTGCTAGGTTCTGTTTTGCCATGAAGCACAAAGCTTAATATTTGCTAATTATTTCGCAAGATGCCTTTGTCCTTGTGAATGCTCCTGGTCCCCATCACGGGGCTATTCCCTGGGGGTCTTACACTTAAAGGGCAATATTCACCAAATCCCAGCATGTAAAAAACAGCTCTTGATATTTAGACACCTGGTCTGAAGAAGGTGCTCAGCCAGAGATGAGACTGAAGGTAGATGTAACACTAATGAGCTCTTAATCAAAACACGGCTCCTAGGAAAGGGTAATACCACACACCTTCAAACTGGACAAACTATGCAATCTATAAAAGTCAGCTCTGGAACATACACTACAGTGTGCTATTTACAGCACCCTTTTATTATTGTTATTATTATTGTTATTATTTTCCTTTTTACCTGGGGACTGAATGTTTGGGGACTGTGGAAGAAGAAGGCCGTACATCTGGAAAGCGTCAGATTTAACGCCCGAAGTCATCAGCCCAGGTCAGCTAAAAGTACATGTTTGCTTCCAACAGCAGCTGTGCAAACTCCTGTTGCCTTGGTTGTGCAGGGCTTATGTAAAGATTCCTCAAAGACAGTGCCCTCTTTGTGAGCCCAGAGCTCTGCTGATCCCTGGCAGTTCCAACCCCAGTTTCAAAAGAAACGGGCCTAAAATGGCACTCCCACCGCAAACAGATGTGTTTCAGCCTCTGTCTAAGGCAGCATTCATTTCATCATGAAAAGGAAAACATCATAATTTAGGGTCACACGTCTCTCGCCTGTCAGTCAGGCACTGCCAGCTATTTTTACAGCATCCCAGGGTGTTGTGGCAGTCTAGAGAACAAGTGACACACCTTTCCAAGGGCTGTGTAGAATGATACCACTCAGTGAGGAGTTCTGAGCTCCGAGCTTTGGTTTTGTTCCTGACCTTTTTTTCTGAACAGAAAATATCTCTGTGTGTATTGTGTGTTTTTTTTTCTATTGCACATTGATTTTCTTTGCTTCCCATTGCTCCACAGACTTGCTCTACCCAGTGAAAAATATGTATTGTAGTGTTAGAACCTTTCTCATGGTGCTGTGGCATGTGGGTGGACCAGATGTACCATGAAAACAAGCTCTCTCGCAGCAGTAGCCAACAGTCGAACAAAACTATACATACTGTGAGAGAAGCCAAATTTCACTCACTGACTTCAGTAGCTTTTGGTTGCTCCTGTTTTACATTGTGATTGAGTCCGGCCAATTTATTTAACCTAATAAACAAGATTATAATTATAAACAGTCCGGTAAAAATACCTGTCATCTGAAAGAGGCACAGAGACCATTATAGAGAACAATCCCAAGCTTCCCTGCCTCGTAGCCAAATATTATATCTGCGATGCAAATAAAGCACCAACATATTTACAGTTCAGTGGGAGTTTTGATCATGTAATAGCTTCAGGGTTCAAACCACTGTTCATTAAAGTCCTAAGAGTCTTTGCATTGACTTTAACGAGCTCTGAGCCAAGAATGGAACATACAGAATTTTACCAAGAATTCAAAGTGGAAAAAACCCCAGCCTTTGCCAAAGCTCATACCTTTGGTCTTTCTGAAAGCCGAATGCCTGAAGGGACTGTGCTCCTCTTGCTGTGCAGTTTCAGCCTCCAGGGGCAGAAAGCCCTGCTGTGCCCCTCTTGGCAGTGCCAGAGTTCCTCATGCTGAAAAATCCGCCAGCAGATTTCATTACAATAATTGCACTGGAGTTAATACTACATTGTAGAGAAAGTAGGCAAGAAAACACAAGGGAACAAAATCCAGATGATCAATCATCCTTTTTTACTGACACTGTCTTTATGTGGGTTGTTTTCACTGGAAATATACACCTAATAATTGCCCAGGTTCCTTGTTTTTTCAACATCATTTCTATGGTAAATGCCATTAGTTACTGTGCCATGGTGATTTAAAGCTGAAAACCTACTGTGACCTGAACCAAAAGATAGATTAACTTATCTGCTTTAACAAGGAGTTGCTTGAAAGCCTTATAGGAAATATTGTATGAACTTAAATTTCATATGGCCAGTAATTACTTTTCCTGTTATTCTTCTATTAAAGAAATACAAACGGAAATGGGGGCTCTGTGCATAAAGGGGACTGGGTTGTAGTGCTTTTAATCTGCAGGTCATCAATTCAAGGTAATTTAGCTGATGACTCCAGTGGCCTCAACCCAGCCGAGGGGACTGTCTGGGGACAGGTGACCTCACCTGGCCATCCACCATTGCTAAATTCTGCAAGGCAATTCAGTAGACTCAGAGGACTTTGACTGACCAAGCTCAAGCTTCCATCCTGTGTATGGGGCTGTTGTTTCAGGCCAGCTGCTAAGCAGCTGGATACAGCACGGGCAGACACCAGGGACCTAGGTCAGTCCCTCTGAGCACCACATACAGAGGGGTCAGTCTGTCTCTAATTATTACAGAAATCAAAAGAGACTCCCATTGATACAGGGTTATTCCTGGATAGCCACGGGGAAGAGCAGTGTGAGAGCAATCTCCTGAGAGCCTGCTGATAAGGATAAACAAGAAGAAAAATGGATTTTCAGCTCAGTGACCTCTAAGAATGAAGTTACCGATTTCCAGGATCTATGGTCTGATATCCTTGAAGAAAGTTCAATTCATAGCTTCCACTCTTTCATGAGGAAAGATGCTGAAATCACGAAGCAACTAGTTTTCAGTGGGATATTATCTGAGAACCAAAGACTTTTAACTTGAAAAGTTCCCTAGGACAGTGGATTCTAACTTTTTTTCCCATTTGTGGACTCTCAGCAATGATGCAGCTCCTGTACAGTGAATTTAAGCTGACTATAGGCTTGCTTTTCTTGGCTTCCTTCCACAAGTGACAAGTTGACAGCTACTGCTCTTGGAAGAAGATGGCCTTCCAATCCTCAGGTCACCATATGGTGCACAAATCATTTCTTTCATGTCATACCTGATTTAGAGCTGTAGGAAATAGAGCTAGGAGACCAGTGAAGCCATCTCCCCCACTGTCCATCACGTGTTACTGTGTCATGCCCTGTTTTCAACGTGCCATGTCTCAGCAGGCAATTTGAGAGCTGTGGCTGTCCTTCCAAGCTTTATAAGTGTGCTAAATGGGGTGGATACCTGGAGAAGAAATGTGCCATTGACTGTGAGACATTACAGAGGGAATAATGTGTCGTAAATCAAAGAGACACAACACTACACCAATAGACTAGCCAAGAATATGAACTATAGGAGTCCTTACAATAACATCCATTTGTGGAGTCAAGAATCTAATCTGTAAGTTGCTCAGTGAGGATTTACATCTCCCCTCTGCTCCTGCATTCTAAACAAACACCAAAAAATCTGAAAAAAATGTTTATTCTTGGGAAGAGTTATCCTCACTATTATTAATGCTTCTTCCATTAAAAAAAAAAAAATCCAGAAAATCATAAGCTATGAATCACTTACTTTTTTGAATTATTATTTTTTTTAATTCACCAGGGTAGCTTTTGGTGTGCGTATTTTTCTTTAACCATGCTTAGAACAAAACTGTCCTTCCCAGAACAGTATTTTTCCCTTGCTTGCCATGAAATTAAGTAGGATAGAAAAACAGAAGTAGGAAATATAGTGTATGTCTGGAAATCAGGGAGTGTAAACATACCAGCAGAAAGCGACCTAGTTCTCGCTCTGAATGGAAGAGTAACCAAAGGAAAGCACATTAGACATCTTAGCAGCTTGTACATGTATTCCTCCATGTGGTCTTTCTTCTCTGGCTTTCCCATCTGACCAGTCATTATTAGCTCTCCTACTCTGCCCTATGGATGGAAATGGAGACAACTAGAGTCAAACATCACTCTGAGTAATTCAAATAGACTTTGCTATAGTTAGCAGGAAAATATGCTGTAAACAGTTGTTATCCATGACTTGCAGGCAGGGTCCGTTTCCAGCTGGGCTGTCTGGGGACAGCCAAGAGCATTATTCCAGAGCCTAAGACTAGCTCTTCTCAACCTAAAGAGAGATGCTGTGAGTGCTGCTTGTCATCCATGGCAGGGAGGGCAAGAACTGCACAGAAGCACTCCCCCTCCTCCTCCTCTGAGGCATAGCAGTTCAAATAAACAAAGCAAGACAAGACACAGTTTGGATCAGAGACAAGCACCTATCCTGCAGCTGGAGTGTCAGTCCAGCCCTGCATTCACACTTGGCTACAGATTTCACCGTACCCTTACAGCTTTAAACACCACAATGTGCAAGTACAGATAAATTCTGAATGCTTTACTTGCACCATGAAATGGCACTGGTCTTATTCCCTTTCCGCAATCAGACCCAGAGGCATGCTGCACTTGAGCTAAGAGGGTCTGTTCTGTGGGACATCCTGCCACTGCCTCCCAGATGCCCCATTTGGCCTCTGCTGGCACCCGGCAAAGCTTTAGTTCTTTGCTTTTGATGCCTTACTCCAATCCTGCTGCAGTCCCTCCAATCGCCTGCTTGGTGCGAGAACAGGCCCATTGGGGTTGCAGAGCGCTCCCCGCAAGCGGGCAGAAGGGCCATGTAAAAATCAAATCCACATGACTGTATTTATAGGCAACCAAAGAGAGGGCTGCTCTTCCAAGAAAAACTTTTCCATGTAAAAGAATTCTTAATCTCCCCTTTGACTGTCATTGTTGAAATGATGGCTTCGCAGGCTTGAAATTTAAGACCCTATCGGCGTCTTTTCTGTTAGCTGTGATTTATGAATGGTTTCGCTGTTGATTATCCCCCAAGATTACAGCATGTCAGCCCTGACAGACAAGCAGAGGAAATTTCACAGGATAACGGGTAGATCCTTCGCCAAGGCAGTGAGGCAGTGAGGTGTGTTTTGACTCAAGCGTGTAACAGTATCAGCAAATGCTGACTGGACTCAACAGGCAATTGAACAGACTACATGCAGCACCTTACTCAAAGGCGAGCAGAATCAGCAGAATTCTTTATGATGGTTTCTCTGGGCTTTGGACCTTTTGCTCTCTGTGTAATATAGCATTCAGTTATTTTTTTTGCCTTGGTTGTGGCACAAACCGTACAAACTGCAGTCAAAAACGAGATGGTAACATTTGCTGCAATGTAACCATCAGAGATCATCCTTCCTGACTGCAATGTAAGTCTCGTGTCTTGTCTGGGAGATACACTGTCATTCTGTCAAGCCCAGAATATTCAAAGGAAATTTGCTACCTTTGATTTATTGCCAAGAACAGACACTCCTGACCCCAGAAAAGATTCTGTGGCTTTGTTTTCCATTTCTTGCTAGACAGTTTGTTCCAGGTCACTGCTAGGAGGGAATGTTTATCTGGTGAAGGTAACAGGGCTAAGGCAGGTGAAGCCACAACTTGAGGGAGCTTTGCAGCATTCTGGTTTCTCCCACAGTACAGTACTGACACACTGCTAAAGGGAGACAGAAACAAGCTACAAGCCCTTGAGGTGGCTTGGCAAAGCTGTGCATGAGAATGTTCCAAGGAGAAGCAACTGCTTACGTTAGTTTGGTTCCTTCTGGGCTGTGGCCTCCACTTGACCAGACAGCCAGGACTCCAGGTTGCAAGAATTTCTGATGTGGGGGCTGCTTAAAAATGAATGAGCAGGCCTGCTCATGAGAGAGGTGCTTTCATCTCCCAATAAACAGCTTCTGCTTGTCAGGCAAAAGGCTCCCTTAATTTGAACTCTGCTGCACTGTTCTGCAACATGAATTGTTATTGACATGTGGTTTCCAGGTCTGGCACTATGGATGTGCTTCCTGCTGCTCGTAACATCATCTGGACCTGTGCAGTGAGTGGCAGTATAGCACCCTCGTGCTGTGGAACAATTTTTGCCGAGGTAAAAAAACAATCCAGGAGGTATCAGGCAAGGGTGATGTACCTGGATCCTGCTCTGTGGCTGCATTCCCCTCAGCTTGAGAGATGTGCTGCTTTGGGGCCTTTCAATACCATGATCACGAAGACACTGCAGAGAAGAAAGGCTGCACCTCTTTGGAAGAAACCAAAGAGCAAAGCTACATCCAACTGTGTCCCAAGCCATTCTTACTGGGGCTAGTTATGCTGTGGGTGTTCTGAAGGATCGGGTTCGACTGTGAACCAGAATGGACATTCCTAGCATTCTTCCAATTTTGCCACCCAGCCTGCTTCAGAAAAAGTCCCGATGTAGGTGTTTGTATCCTGTCTCTTTCTTCTCTCACAGTATTTGTCTTTCAAGCCTGGCAGCAGTGGAAGGAAACTTAGCACGTGATGCTGACATTCTGCCATGTCTGTGGGACTGCAGATTCCTAAAGTACTCAAACCTAGCTAAGAGAATAGCTGGGGAAATAGGAGGCAGAGGACCTACCCAAGCACACAGAGGTTTTAATCCCAGTGGATTGAAGGAAAGGTGAAGGCTTTTATTCAGCAGCTGGGCTGCTCACATCAGGAAGGCTATCTGGGCTCCTGCCTCCAGTGCCCACGCAGTCCCCTTCTCATTGATTCCCACCTGCACTACATCATTTTGTGCTAGTGATCTGATCATTCATGATGTCTTACCTGTAGGGTATTCATGGGTGTAAAGGGCTGCTGGATATTGTAGCACAATTGTGCTGGAGAGATGAGCTTTGCAAGAACCTGGACATAGGGAAGGGAGGCAGAGAAATGGTCAGGGTGGTGGAGAAGCTGCAAGGGGAATCCAGGAATACCAACAGTAGGAGCAGTGTCAGACATGAGTGCCATGGTACTTGGCAAGGCAGCCAGTAGCAAGGGGAAATGAACATACAAACATGGGGACAAAGTCCCAGCACTTAACTGAGGGATCTGTGAAGACCACATAGCCCTCAGCAGGTCTTGGTTTGTAAAGCCTCTCCTGGAAACCTCAGACACAATTAAACAGAGACTGGTGAGCCTGGGCTCAGCCCACATTGCATCCCTGATACTCTGCTTATTACCTGAGAAAAGCTGTCAATGCCCTGTGCAGTATCATCTGTTTGGCACACAGCAGGTCTCTCTCTGGTCCTGAGGAGCACCGAGCCCCTGCAGCTCCTCCAAAAGCTCAGAGGTTTCTTCATGTGAAAATATTCACCCGTTTCAGGACTGGGCCTGGGGTCATGTTCTAGAACAAAACAGACCAATTGGAAAAAAAAAAAAAAAAGTTGGAGAAGCTGTAAGAACTGTGTTTCATAGAGACCTCTTTAATCAATGTTGGCAGAAATACACCTCTGTCTGAGTGTGAATCTTAACAGATACAGTCCAGCTGGAATTTTCCCTGGTTTTCTGCTGCTTGACTCGCCACTCCTTATTTATTGTTGTTTTACACTCAAATTCCCAGCTAAGTAGGGCTATTCCTCCAGAGTTAGTGCTGGTAGTAGAGACCGCTGTGCCACAGTCTGTGCCTCCACACACTGCTGCCCTTGTATCACTGTGTTTGCACCTGTTTGTCTACACTCAGCTGCTTCAGAAAACTTCCCTCCAGACTTTTCCTTCCTCCATGTCCCACCATGCACACAAGGGCCCAGTTTCCCTGCTCCCAAGCCAAGACACAGGAATGTACTAGTCCCCAGTGATTCCCTCCAGCAAATTAGGAATTGCTGAACCAAGCAGGGTTTCAGTAGAGCTACATAGCCTCAACTGAAAATCCCCTGCTTGCTGTTTTTCTTCTTCAGTAGGGCACCATGAAATATTTACATTCAGTTTTGACAGGGCTAATTCTACGGCCCCATATATACATCTGCGTCTGCACGCTGTATCCTTCACTGAGTTTCTACTCAGCCAAATTTTCACTGGCCAAGAACCAGACCCTGTGGCTTCAGGAGGACTTCTGACCAATGAACAAGTCATTTCTGTCACAGCCATCAGGACAGGAGGCATTTCTTACTATCTGCCACCCTGTGATTTACACAAGAGCACTCCATCTTGGTTAAGCTACACGGTACTAACTTTAAACAGACAAATAATAACACCATAATACGTGTATACGCATGCCCTGCAGCACCCAGCAGCAGTTTAGCCAGTTATAAGTGAAGTCAATACCCTTATAAAGGCTTGGGGCTGCTCAGTGGTGCCTAGCACATCAACAGTTCAGAGCTCGGCAAACCCTAAAACCATGAACACCCACTATTGTGCTGACCATGCATATTGTGCTGAAATTTGCTTTTAAAAATATACATTATTTAGCTCCAGGAAAAACTGAATTATAGCTTCTCAAAACAAGAATCAGATTCCCCCCCTCCAATTGCTCCCTAAATTAGAATATTTCTAAATAGGATTGCATACTCACCCCTGCCTAGAGTCCCAGTCCTTTGTCCTGCTCCGTTTTTTCTCTTTGGAGGAAAGCAGCTTTGAAGACGCTCCTTCTCCTTGGACATACAGCCTCACCAGTTCAGTAGAAGGGCAGGGGAACTGGGCTGCAGGGGAACTGCTGCGCTGAATGTCTGTAGTTCACAGCATTAACTGGCCAGAGAATCCTATTACATGATAGGTAACAATCCAAGGCCTAATTTATGGAAATTTTGACCTTCAGTCCCCTTTGACATATTCAGATCAGCCACAGCCTGTGTGAGATGTTAAAGCTCTTACAGTAAGGGGCTCTAAATCAGCCCATGCCGCTGCTGGAGCCAATGAGCGGGTCAGAGGTAAGAATTCACTGAGGTTCGTGTGTGGGCTGCTCAGAGCCTGTTTGACATTTATAAATCAGTGACATTCTTCTACACAGCTCAGTGCATACAAATTGCTTCAGTCTCTCTGAGGAGGGCCCCTCATGTCAGTGAAGGCTGGATTTGGGCATCCTTGGCCTTTCCTTTTGACTTGTGCAGAATAAGCCTAAACAAATCCAGCTTTATTAACTAGCAAGGTCAGCTACCACCTTAAGCGTGACCTGCTCCCTCAGGATGGTGGAGTGAAGGATCTTTTAGAATCAAACCTATCTCCAAGGACTTCGTGCCGTCTTCAGGGCTTGGTCATGAAAGTCTTCAACACCACGTGCCATACCAGATGCCTCATGCTTTCATCAGCTGCCATAACAAATGTTGTGTTCATTAATATTGTTATTAGTGTAGTACAAACAGCCACGGTCCTGTTCTGCTCAGTGCTGGGCCAAGAGGAGGTGACCAGCTGGATGTCAGCAGCTTCCCATGGAAGCCTACTTGCCGTAAATAAAGGTCCACCAGGCCGAGACCTTTGAGTGGGCCTGCCCCAGATTTCTCACAGTCTGGCCTCTATATAGAGAGAAAACATGATGAGAAAAACATCAGCAGGGCTGCGGAGAAGGTAATGTTAACATCAGCCAGTTATTGTGCAATAAAAGTCCATCTTGGCTTCTCCAAGCCTGACCTCTTTAACCACTGCTTGCTTCTCCAAACCCCGAGGGTTTGCATGGACACCATGTTCCCTCAGCACTGGCAGTGCCCCGGCACACCCTGCTCCTCCCTGCTAGCGGCTGCGCTGGTCTTTGGACTCCTGTTGTGCTTAGGGTGGCCCCAAGCACACGATGGTGGGACATTGAGGCCAGTTCCTCAGCGGTTGTGGACCAGCAGCCATGGAGCTGGCTACAAAAAGAGATGTTTTGGGCTGTGCTGAGCCCAAAGGGCAGCCAGGAAGGCTGGGCTGACAGAGAGAGGCTGATGGTGGGCTCCTACACCGTTGGGTGCACTGCCATGGCCACCTGCTGCCCCTCTGAAGCTGTCCTGAGGTGAAGAGGGACGATGGCCATTGGGAACAGCTCTTCCCTCATGCCCACACGCCTTCACGCTGAAGGAAAAATCTGCTGGGGCAAAGGGATGGGGGGGGAGAGGAGGGGGCAGAAGGCAGCAAAAGAACTGAGGTAAAAATTTGACAGAAGTGAGGTAAAAATCTGACAGAAGTGAAGGAAAAAACCTGACAGAAGTGAAGGAAAAACTCTAAAGGGAGGAAAAACTCTGAAGGGAGCGAAATCAGCGTAGTGAAATCGCAGCTCCGCGATGGCGGGGGGGGGGGGGGGCTGCTCGGGGGGCGAAGCCTGAGGGGGAGAGGGTCGGGAGGCGGCCGTGGCGCTCCCCGCCTGGGAAGTGCCTGAAAATGTCGGGCCGGGGCAGAGCTGGGGGGCCGGGGAAAGGGGAGGGCGCTCCCCGGCTCCCCTCCCACCCTCTCCGGATAAATGGGCCGGCGGGAGGCGGCGGGCGGGCGGCAGCAGCTTGCGGCGGAGCGCGGCCCCTCCGGCCTCGGCTCCCCCGCCGCGCCCAGCGCTCCCTGCCGGCGGGGCCGGCCCGGGCTCCGCCGCGTCCCGGTTCTTTCCGTGGGGCCGGGGGATTGCGCCTCTTTTCTTCCCTTCTCACCCTCCCTGCCCCGGGGAGCCGCCTGGGGGAAGGCAGCCGGGGCAGCCCGTCCCGCCCGGGCTCCGGCAGACTGGTGGCGGCCAGCGGGACTCGGGGCGGGGGGCCCCCGGGCGCCCTTCTTCCCCTTCCCTCCCTCCCTCCTTGGGAGGCGCTGGAGGATTTTCTCCCGCTGCGACCCCCTCGCTGCCCCCCAGACATGGTAGGTCACCTCCAGCTGCAAGGGATGGACGAGAGCCTGAAGGAGAAGAGCCGGGAAGGCTTGCTGGACAGCCCGGACTCGGGGCTGCCCCCCAGCCCCAGCCCCCCTTTCTACTCCCTCTCGCCCGGCGAGGGCCGAGCCGGGGGGGGCAGCAGCGGTGCGGACCCCCCGGCCCAGGGGCACCGGCGAGAAGCCAAGGACGGCAAAGTGGTAAGAGCCGGAGAGGGGAGGGAAGGAGAAAAGCGCCGGGAGAGCCGCGGAGCTGGGGGGACAGCGAGGACGCGGAGCCTGGGGGCCCCCTCGGCTCCCCCGGGGCTGCGGGGCACCGCCGGGGGGTTTCTGCTGTGCTCAGGGGTGGTGGCACCGCAGAGGGGGGACATCAGCAGCGACAACAAACCGGAGAGTGAAGCCAGGTCTTCGGTGCCTTCCTGCAGCACACGCAGGTCCGTGCCGGCTGCCTCCAGCATCGGCTGCGCGCCTGCATCCCGCATTCCTCCGGGCCCGCAGTGCAGCCACGTCTGCTGCAGCCCCTGCTGCAAAGAGAGAGGGAAGAGGTGGTTAGGACAGGGCACAGGCGGCTGTCCGGGGAGTTGGTGTGGGGACATGGGCTGGGGAAGCTCCCTGCCCCTTGCTGGAGCAGGGTTTTGGGGTGTGAGGCTGCACGGACAGGGTTGGTCTGGTGGTGGACCATAGGTTCTGGTTAGCCTGATGCGGTGCCTGGCAAGCAGCTGGCTGTGGGGTAGGATTTGGGTAGGTTTCCTGTGACTATTATTAAGCGTTCTTATATTTATTTCCATCCCTCAGCTATAGAAAGCCTCTACAAAACGCAAAGTTCAGAGCATAAGCGATGGGGGGAGAAGTTTTTAAAGAACGATGAAAGTTCGTCCCCAGGGACCTTTCAGATTTTTTTCCCTAACATATAAAAGGCTTTTGTAGATAGAGTCAATACAGTTAATTGACTGCTATGCAGAATAAAAACTGCAACACTAATCTTTCCATGGGGAAAACTTATCTGCCAATGGATTAGTGACAATTCGGAGACTTCTTCCCAGTAGAGACACTTTGCAATAACTTAGCACAGTCTTATTTTCTTCCTCAAGTTCTGAGGCTATTTTAGCTTATTGAAAACTGCTTTTTACTCCCAAGCATGCCAAAACCATCCCCAAGAACAATGACTCCATCTCATCAGAGTACGGTGGGTAGGGTGTGAGATTAATTATGAAAATAAAATCCCAAACCCTCTAACAACCACTGACTGCGGATCCAACTTCGCAGCCTTACCTGCTGTTGCCTGGGCGTGTGTGTTGTCTTGATGGGACGGCTTATGTTCAAAGAGTTACTTGCATGCCTCTGATTTGGCAGGATCAAGCTGTTGCTGTGCATTTGTAAAATAAAATGTGGGAGGATGATGAATGAAGGTTTGCTGGACCAGAAAACAGCTGGGGTGGAGGTGTCTGTGAAGCTCCACGATGGGGATATAACAGCCTCCATTCCAGTGACTGTGACAGTCAGCCACCACTCCTCTCAAGAAAGCCCTTAGATATTGAAGGTGAAAGATCGTAATAAAAGAAAAATCTACCTCTTGAGCTGCTTGGATTGAGAGTTTTAGTGCTCCTAGAGGAGGAAAAAAGTTATTCCTGTGATTTGTGTAAAGAAGAACTACATTTTCAAGTTACTTTTCTTATTGATTGCAAATTAGTATTTTTAACATTACAGAGTAACTCAAAACTGTGGATGTTTCTGATTTTCATATCACGTTGCAACAGCATGGGTAGCCTTGGGCCCCAGCTGTTAGAGTAGGGGTTTCATATACTGTGGATATTTCCATGCCCTTAGTAGGTCCAGAACATTGCATAGGTACGAACAGTGAAGTCAATTTGAGTGTATTATCTGAAGTGGTGCAGGACTGTGCTCTCAAACTGTTTGGTATTTTGCAAAATAAAGAACCAGGCTGGAGTTCTCACTCCACTTGACTGCACAGAGATTTTTCACTTCTCACTTACAGCCTGCAAATACTGTACTTGCAGCTGCTATTAAGAAAACAGGAAAAATACAGAGAGCATTGCTTGCTTTGTACTTCTAAATTTCAGTGTCTAATTAGCTTTAACCTTACCATTTAACAAGGACTTGCAGATCTATGAGCAATTATGCAATCCATGAATGTGCTTCTGTTTAACTCCACTACTCTGCTGTTCATCAGAGCATGCAGAATTGGCAAATCAATAATTGCAGCTATTTGCACACCAACACATGCTTTTTTAATTGCTTATTATGCTAGTGTTTGTTTTGCTTATAAACGTGACAAAACCAGGAATGCAGTCACCACTCGTGGTGCTGTAATACTATAGAACCATATGGAAGCTCACTTACTAATGGCCAAAACTCTAGTATGTACAGTTACAATAAATTGCTGTCAGGTGAACAAAACAACATTCCAGATCTGGGGGAAGGATTTCCTACCATTCCTTGCTGCAGACCTATCAAAACCACCAGTCTGAACCCAGTTGCGTTCTTTTGCAGTCAGCTATTTTGCTCCAACTTGACAAATATATTGAATTTTTCTGCTCTAGGATAGCTCTTTTTATACAGAACAAAATGAGATTGGAAGCCCTTATCGAAAACTTTTGTGTGTGTAAAATCCATGCTCTCCCTGCTTTGTGTCATTAACTGATTCTGAAAAAGTAAACTCTTTTCTCTTTAATAAGCACGACTTTGTTTCAAAGACAATGCACCATTTATTCACATTTAACCAGCCAATTTGGCTACAGCTTTGGGATCCAAGAAAATATGAAAGGCAATTTAGGACCAGAGTCATAAATACCACAAGTTCAACACCATTTAGGGACTTTTTTTTAATTTTACTTGCAGTGCAGGAGGAATTTACTTTTATTTCTTCAAGTAAAGTCTATGTGGGGAATTTGTCAGTTGTTTTGTGCTAAAGTGCAAATATCCTAATGAAAATAGAAGGTAACTTTGACCTAGTTTTGCCTTTTAAATCTGAAACATGATTAAATTGATCTTTCGTCTTGGGTTACTGAATTCCCTAGGCTTTTCCTGTAATGCTTGGGCAAGGGGAACACACATACCATGGAATAAATGTCTAATAATACACACAAAGAAGCAGTTGCTGGAAGGGTAGGGAGTGAAATGGCATCAAGATAGCCAGATCTGCTTAGAGTTTTCCTTCTTGTTGTTGCCCTGTGATATAGTTTTAGGCTAGAAGGACTGATTTTGAGCTCTTTCTAGTGCTGCACTAAAATAAAGACTTGGCATCTGATGGCATCACTCCTAATGGATACCAGAAGAGATCAGGACCACGTTCATCTGCAAAACTATGCATCGTGCCTTCTCGAAGCAGAATACTTCTTGTATCCTCCCAATGCTGCTGCTACTGCAATGAGTTCCTTTTCATTTGAAAGATTAAATATTTATGAATTCAACCAGCCTCACCGTGTACTGACTTCTGTGGGACTACCCCAGTGGATCAGTGTTCAGATGAATGCCCCCACATAGGGAATTTCTACTTACGTTCAGGAGCTGTTTGACGACAGTGTGGTGCCAGAATCTGCCCTCTGTGGTGGGAAGAGATTCCAGCTTCATCTTACATACCGTGGAGGAGGAGTGTAGCTTGCCTCTTGGTGTAGCTTTCACGGGCATGGTCCTATCAATAGAGTCCAGGTCAGCATCTGTGCCAAGCCTGTAGGATTTTTTGTCGATATAAAAAAATAACAACAATAAACACATGTCCCTGACAATGCCACTTATTGAAGAGCTTTTGGGGCCACAGAGCCCATATCCTGCTCTACACTGAAAGAGCTCCAGGAAGGGGGCTGTATTCTGGGGTCTGGGTGAGGAACGTGTCCATCAAAGTGTTTCCAGGCCTGCCACCCCCTCCAGGGAAAGCACCTGGAGAGAAAGGCCCAGCACCCCCAACCTAAGCCAGCTTATAGCCCACACACGCAGCAGGTGACACGTCTTCCCAAGTCCACGTAGGTCCCAGCAGCTCTGAGGAAAGCCTCAGGCTTGTGCAGAGAGCAAGGCAATATCCACTGTTGGTGTGGTGCCTTTTGCCCCAAATGCTGTTCAAGTAAAGTGGAAATGGGCAAATTTCTCAGTGGACATCAGTCTGCATCGCTGGTGCAATTAGCAACGAGAAGGTAGTGTCAGTACACATAAGTTGGTGTGCTCTGCAGCAGCTGTGGGGTCGGCAGGCAGGTATTCCTGATCCAGGCAGTTCGTGATAAAGACAAGCAGGGAAAAAGTCATAGGACTCTCATCACCTATGCTAAAAATGTGGCTCTAGCTAGAGTGATGTCTTCTAGCTGTTTAATTTCTATTGCATCTCTAACACTGGACCATAAGTGGAGTAATACTTTTCCCACTTGAAGTAGAAGAGGCAGGAAGGATTAATTCTTTGAAATAATAAAACCCGGCTTTATACTTGAGCTCTGCATTTACTGTTATCACTTCCAAATAAAATCTCATCCGGCTTTGGTATAAATTACTTGTAATGTGCAATACATAAAGATACTGGGAAAATAAATGGTCTGTAAAACAAATACAGCTTATCAGCTAGCGCAGAGAATGTAGATGTGTGTCAAATAACTCAGCCAGATCTTTCATTACAGCTGTAAATAACAGCTGAGTAAAGTGACATTTTCATGGGCCTGACATGTTACCATAGTGGGAAAATGTGGTGAGAGATTTGCTTATGCCCTAGCGAAGTTAGGAGCTGGGAATTTGGGAAGCTGTATCCTGTTTGTATCCCTGATGCTTGGAAAACCGTTTCCCCTTTCAGTCCCCAGGGATCTAATGCCAAATCCTGGTGCCTTCCACATAACTACCGTACCTAAAGGAGTCAGTTCTGGTCTGTCTCGCTTTCTGGGGAAAAGGTTTTTTTTGGGGGGTTTGTTTTTTTCAAGTCACATTAATTTCCTTCCTTTCTTTTTGCTTTGCTGCCTGGAATGTGGCAGCTACGAGAACAGCCAGTAGACTGCAGGCCCATTTCATGGCACGTTATTTACCATAACTCCGCTTCCATTCTTATAAAAATACCCCAAACGAAAAGCATCTTAACAGAGCCCACTGATTCTAATTATTAGGGATAACAGAAGGTTATTCTGCCCACCGTATTATCTTTGCTGTTGTTCTCTGAGGTCTGAATACCCCCAGGAACAAGTCACTGAAGGCTGTGCATCAGGCCTAAAGCAAGAAGTCCTCTGCAATACTAACGTCAGCACAAAGGAAGTGCTCTTGATTAGCAGTGGGTTGAATTCTGTTCAGCAACTGATTTTATGTGTATTTATTTATATACTCCTTGAAAAACGCAGAGCTTAGCTACCCAGGCCTTTACATGCCTGAAAGGCATCAGAGTTAAGGCAGGGGGAAAAATGCAGCCAAACAAGAATCACTTCAACTTTTTTAATAATACTTTAACCCTTCGCTGGTTAAGGCAAAAATATGTACTGGAAAGGAAATAAAAATGCTGACCTATTTACTGCTTAATTTTCATTCACCTAAGGGCATAATCTGTACTTCAGCCTCCTCAACCTTCCTGGACTCCCAGGCTCATGTTCTTCCTGCATAAAGATGCGGGGTTGTGGTGGCTTCTACTGGGCTGTGGAGGATGGTAGCTGCTCAGTGAGATGAGTTGCTCAGTTTTGTGCTGAGCATCTGCTAAGTAGCAACACAGCTCTAATTACTGGGGACAGATTAATTAGGTCCCAGACATAGCCTTTCCAGCTGCAGCAAGTCCTAGGGGTTTCTTTGAACAGACAGACCTTGACTTGTGGGCAGCCTGCTCTAAACGGCTTGCACAGGGATACAAAGAAACTCACCTTATTGTGAAGTGTCTTGGGATTGCTGGATGATTGCTAGAGATGAGCCAAGGATGGTCATTTCTCAGGGCAGGTCAGCAGTCCGGTGTTTCTGTTCTTTCAACCATTCCTGTGCAGAAGGAAAAAGAATTGCATCAGTTTTTGTTTGTGGTGTTTGTTTTTTTTGACAGGCAGAACATTTTTGTTTTGTTTTTACCTTAAAATAGACTGGAAGGAGCTGCTGTCAAACTGTTGCCAAAAAGCCAACTTCTGGCGTGTGTCAACCATTTGGCATTTTAGCCCCAAAGACAAATCTGGAAAGCTTGGATGCCCTGTTACTTGCTTCCAAACTCCAAGTGAGATTCAGGAGCAGGTATTTCAGAACATCACTGGAGGCAAAACAAAAAGTCATCTGAAGTGCCTTTTAGTTGCTGCTCTGTAAAATCTGCGCTCGCTGTTTACTGACCCTTGCACCCTGTGCAAGCAGCTCAGCTGCTTGGGGAGCAGACTGCAGGGTCTTGCTGACGATTTTTAATTTTTAGACCATCCCTTGTAAGGTATTTACATCTTCCATCTGCAGAATTCCAGGTGACTTCCCCACCTGCAGCAGCTGCTGGTACTGCTCAGTGGTAGATGAGCGTGAATCTGTAATGGTCTCTGGTGGGTGGCACAAGTCACTCACTGGCTTCGGCTTATCAATGTCCACAATTGTCCAAGCTTTCTAAATTAAGAGGCTTAGTCTGCAGGTCTGAAGTTGATGCTAGTTTACAGCATACATGTATGATATGTATGCCAGAACTAACATGGAGAGAAGCAAATCCTGCTCTCACCAAATGCAGTGGCAACTTTTTGATTGATAGATTGCAGTCAAGCATGAGATCCTTCATTCCTTCCTGCACTCTGTCCCCACATTCTGGCGGAGCAGCACCCCTGGCACACAGCAGTCTGCAGAACCCGTTCCTTTACAAACGCTGGGGGCCAGATGCCCACAAACATTCCTGCAAAGCCACAGAAAGGACCTTGCCTCCTGCATCCTTGTCTCCAGGGGTGTTCAGAGCATGCTTACTGTCAGCATATGTTAGCAAGAAGTGGGAAGGTTTGTTTGCCTGGGAGCACTGAAGTTGCTTCTTTAAAATTGTTTCTTTAAAACAGCACTTTACAAACACCCTCTGCAGAGCTCTCAGGAGATCTGGATTTCTCTTGTGTTAATCCAGCAAGGACGGTCATGGTTACCGCCCTTCCAGCTTCATTATTTGGTGTTCTAGCAAGCTAGTCTGGAGCTGAAAAGCAGCTTAATCCACAACTGTTCACAACTTTCCCTATGGAAAAGGCGCAAATAGAAACAGGCATGCATGTTTGTCTGACACCAGAACAGCTTCATGGATGAAACATCAGCTGTAGCCCAGGCTCTTTTATATAGGAAAGAAAATCTCCTGTATGAGGGACTACATATCTCCGGCCCTTCTGCCTTCACCACTTGAGACAATCTGCGTCTCTTTGCAGGTGATCCCCCAAGAGAGCAGTTTGCCTGCCTTCAGCAGAGCCCACGAATGCATGTGCACATGGGGTTTGATTCCAACACCCAAATGAACCTCTTCTCATGCACAAGATGTCTTTAGAAAGAGCACAGGATGTTTGCAGGCTGTTAAAAGCAAGAGATTTGCACCCTTATGAAGTAAGGCTTGTTGGATCTAAACAATTCACATTTCTGAAGGAAAGGGCTTTATTTACAACCAGAAAGGCTGCCCTTGCCCTTCTCTGTAAAGAGTGTTGAAAGCAATCCAGGAATGAACTTTGCCTTTTAGCCAGTGTTTGCTAGGGAGAGGGAACACATTTTCCTCCCCCCATACAAATTTCCCCATTTTTTTCCCCTCATCCCTTGTACAAATATTGTCCTTTTTTGGCAGCGGATTAGAAGCACTCAGTCACGAAGAGTGGCTGGCCATTTTACCTTACAATTTAACACACTAGTAAAGCGCAGGGATATTTCAGTATGGAAAGAGTAAACGGCTTTGTGGCTTTGGGACACAGAATTGAAGGGCTTGGAGAATTCAGATGAAGCAATGACATTTTTTGCCTTAGCCTAAGGCAGCGAGCCCAAGCCACCAGAGAAAACCAGACCTCAGCTAGTGTGAGCTGACACTGTCGAGCGGACTCCAAAGTTTGGCCAGTTAACAGCAGCCGAGGACTGACCTGGTGAGCATCGTGGGGATCTTTATGCTGTATAGGGCAGGGCACAAGGGGAGGCACCTCACCCAGCACCAGCAGTAGGAAAAGGGCCACAGCTCCAGGATTGCCCCCATTCCTCCCAGCCAGAAGGTGCTGGGGAAGGTGGAGGGAAATGGCATGGGAAGAAGCAAGCCAATTGCTCTGTGTCCTCAGCTACCTTCAGCAGACACCATGAGGCCTGAGATGATCTTACTGACCAGGAGACCTGATGAAAAACCAGTGTGATTCTAGCACACGTATGGCTAACGTGTGGTGGAAGGTGGAAAAAACTCCATGAGCTTTTCAGCCACCTAGAGACCTTTCAACCCTGCCCAGTGGCTGCCAGCCATCTCCTTTAAAGAGACCCTATGTCCCTGTGTGCCATAAATCACTGCTGACAGAAAAGTGGTGGCAGGGACCAAAACCCACAATGACATTTTTCCAGGATTAGGCTTAATTAGCCGCTGGGCTGGGTCCAGACACCAGACACAGGACCCCTGTATGTGGGAACTCATGTTTAAGAGCGCTCCACTCTAGAGAAGCAGGATTATTCATTTTTGTGGTGGGCAGGGGAGCCTAGGCTGGACTGTGACAATTTGTCAGACTAATTAACTGCAGGATGAAATTAATCTTAAGAACCCACTTTCAGTGGCATGATTTGGAGCAGCTCCATTCATTAAGAAGTCCTGGCTTGAAACTGGTTCCCTGCATCGCAGCGGCCACGGGGTGCCCCAGTGTCTCACCCTGCACTCACTTGTGCATGGTTAACGAGAACATCCCTTGGAACAAGCCAGCTGCTCCTGGCATGAAGACTTCAGCAACAGCTCATCTACCACATTCCCCACTCGATCATTCCAAGGGATACATTATTCTCAGCACACATTTATTTATGTGTCTGTATAAAACATATAGAAGCACTACGCACTTAAGTAGAACCACATCCTTTAAGTCAGCAGACTTGGGCCCTTTCTCTGCGTTACATCAGACTTCGAGCCCTTCTTCATGCTTGGAGTCTTTGTAAGAGCTCGCAGGCAGAAGAACAGTTTTTGTTTTGCTTTTTGGTAATGCAGAACCTCCCTCTGGTTGATCCAAGGAAACATTTATTTCTGAAATATTTTATACAGGACAGTTCTAAAGCGCTCTGGGCCCTGAAGTGAGGAGGTTGTCTCCACTCATCAGCCAGGTTGCAGCTTCTCACACAGATGTACCAACTATTGCAAACAAGTTTAAAAACCACATTAAAAAAACTCCACTTCACTTAAGCACCTGAAGCTTGCATCTACAACCAGGTCTAGAAAGCAGCTAACCTTGCCTGTTTTGCCTGTGAAGTCCTGGCTAAAAACCTAGCTCATGAGAGGCTCTGATAATTCATAACAGAGAAGGCAACAACACCAGGGTTAAAAATGACATGTAAAGAATTGCAGTTCTTATGAGAAGTGAGAAAGGAAAGGAAGGGATAAATTTCAAAGAGCAGATACTGCGACAGAGAATGCCAGAGGTCTGGGCAGAGTCACTTACCTGGGTGGTGAGCTGGGCAGAGCAAGGTCAGTCTTGGTGGGTCCAGAGGGCAGCTCGCTGCGCCGCATCAGTCCTGTGTGCAGGAAGGCAGCTGCAAACAGAGACAGGAGGGTGGAGGTGTCTTAAATGCAAGGCCTGCGCGAGGTTTGTCTGTGCAAGGGCAGGGATTAATGGTCCCATTCCATGCCAACCATCCTAAGGCTTTTTGTTTGTTTGTTTGGCAACTTGACAGTGGTCCTCCCCTTTGAGCTTTCTGCATGGGGAGGAGTGGCTCCCTCCTTGTGATGAGCACCCCTCTCACCTGGAGCCTTGCTACAAACCTAGAAAGAGCAGGGATTATGAGAGGGAACTGGATGATGCTGAGACAATCAGCAAGGCGAGCTTAGCTTGTGTGCAATTAAAATCAGTGCTGCTGCAGCGATGTGTTCTCATTGCTGAGAGCCTGCCACCTGCAGTGTCCCCTGCAGGACTCTGAGGAGACCGAGTTCAGCAATGCTGGAGGCACTGGTGTCCCCTGCCAATACTGAACGTGCTGTTCCTGACTGCTCAGCTCTTAGCCACAGCATGTTAAAAACTGTGCCAGCCTCATCTATTGTGTCACAACGCTCACTGTGCTGTTCTTCCCTGCAGATGCCTTACCTGCTCCTGAACCCGACCATGCCGGAGATGAGGCCTCGAATGTACCCTGTGTTTTTTGGAGAAAGCATTGAAGTCAGCCCTGAGCCCGTGCAGGAAATTAGGTACAGATGGGATTGGGTAGGTGGGTGGGGATTTCTGTCCTTTTCCTTGTTCTTTTTCTTCTGAAAAAAATATAATAAATGTGTTTAAAAATGGGAGTCATGGTTATTTTGATGGAAAGGGAGGGAAGGGACAGGTAGGGAGGGTAATGCCTGAATTAAAGACACTGACTAGCAGCAGAAGTGGAGGCAACTAGGCAAGAACTAGGAGGAGGCTGTAGGAGAAGACGACTTTACTTCCAAGGCCAGCTCATTTCCAAGGCTATGAGAGAAGACTGTTACCATCTGTAGGCTTGCCAGCCTGTACTAAGGAACCTAGTGGTCTTCATCCTGTTGCCTGCTGACTTGTATCCTCAGAAGAAGCAACATCATTATACTTGGCACCTGTTTTTGTTAGCCCTTGCAGCAGAGAAACTGACATTAGCCTAGCTCACAGAGAATTATCCTCCTCATGCCGGGGTGGTTCCTCAAGCCAGCAATCGAGGTGTTCTGACCTCCCGTGGGACCGCAGGCAGTGGCCTGTGGATAAACGTTCCCTGCTCTTCTTTTGGCATGGAATGTACTCTGCAAACAGCATGGAGCGGTTACACACAGCTTGGGGCACGGACGGTGGGAGGACTGTAAACCCAGTTCCCACCCCGCACAACCTATGCGAACGTCTCTCTGGAAATGTACCCCAGTAAATCTCTGCTTGCTGAGGAACTGCCGGCGGGCATGGTTTTATGGTGATTACATCGGAGTCTTGTTTTATGTGCACTGAATGACTTGCTTACACCCTAGCTGTGCAAAATACATTACAGCAGCTCGGATTACATGCAGTGCACAATCAGTCAGCCCCCCTCCGGGTGGAGGTAATGACAAGCACACACCCAGCTTTTAATCTTTTTTACGTGGAACTGCACATTCCTTGGCTGCTGATTGCCAGAGGAGCGTTTGGGGAGTGGGGAAAACAACTGAAAGCCCTGCAGTTCCTCATGACCAGAGATTCTAGCAAGAGCACTTTATTTGGCTTGGTTTCCATCCATCCCTCCTGGAGGCCAGCACAGAACATGCAGGGCAGCGACATCCTGCATTCTAGGGGTTCTTCATCTGATAGCTTTGATCATGGCCACTTCGTTGGAGCCCAACAGCGTGGATCCTTGTCAGCCACAGCCCACAGCACCTCTTTGCTTTATCAGCTATTTGACCACTGCCTGTATTTTCTGAAGGCCCCAATAAGCAGCCTCACCCCTCACCTCCCAGTGCCCTGATTTTGGCTAGCTTGGGTTTCTCGTTGTGTTCTGATGGCAAGGCAATATAAAGAGGAAAAAAAAAAAAGGACAAACATACAACTGTGACAACAAGTGTCTGTTACACTATGTTTCTGCCACCCATGAAAACCTTATTTATGGCATTATTTTCCTGCTGAAACAGAGCTTGCATAGACAGCAGGGACTGTGAAAGCAGCAGCAGGTGTGTTGTGCAGGGAAGTTAGATGCCCCCTGACCCCAATGGGACATTTACCTCCAGCATAGCTCTCAGGATTGAGCTGATGTCCCAGTGGGCCCATGGAGGAAGACAGAGGAAGCAGCAGCTGCCTGGAGCCTGTGCAACAAGGTCCTTTCTGTGCTGGCACACACAGGCAGGCTATGTCCTCTGTGAACATGCACTGCAGAAATGTTGAGATAGCTTCCCAGCAAGGTGGGATTCCACCAAGATGCTCCATCAGGAAGGAGTTTTCTTGGCTCTCTGCTTTGGGTTGTAGGGTTTGCATCGGTTCCAGTGTCTGTGCACTAAGAGGTCCCAGATATTCCCAGCTCCATATGGTTAGAGGAGTCCTGCGTATCCTCTCCTTTGCTGCCTGGCGTGTGTTCATGACACCTTGCTGTCCTCTCTAGGTGCAATTCTGAGGTGAAGTACGACTCTGAGAAGCATTACCGGGATGACATCTTCTACGGCCCCATCCCCACTGTCACCACCTACAGCGAGACCGGTCATCGCTGCACCCAACTGCACCTGGCGGAACTACAAGTCCCAGCTGATCTTCGAGCCTCGCCAGAAGCCACTGAGGTTTCAGAGCACGACCATCATTTTTCCTAAGCGTGCCAAGAACATTTACCGGACCACCCTCAACTACAGCCTGGGCTGTGCCAAGCGCTGGTTTTCTTCCAGCGTGCAGCTGGAACTTTGCGAGGAAACCAGCCCGTGTGTCATCTACAGCGAGACCCTCTGATCCACCCTGCCGCTGGCAACCTTGTGACCTCAAGGAGGCTGTGGCCTTTGCTGGGTCTCTGGTTGGGCCCTCACTGATGACGACTAAATATTAATGGCTGGAGAAAACGTCATCTTGGGTGAGGATGAACTGGCTGGGAGGAGGCTTGCAGGGCATGGGATGGTTTTGATCAGTGGAAGGCTGGCTTGCATTTTGCGACGTTCCTGACATTCGTGATCTGGATTTTATTTTATTTTATTTTTTCCAAGCATATCTATTTTTGACTTGTGCTTAGATGAAATCAAGATGACTAAGGACCCTATTACCCATAGCAGAGTGCTGCCTTGTGATCTCTGAAGGTCTTGTCTAGCACATAGGCAAGACTCACTTCAGAGCTATTTTGGTCTTCTTCAGAAAAGACCAACTGCAGAGTCAGCATCCGGCCTGCCCAGCACACACCAAGCCCAGTCTCTTGGAGTTTAAATGCAGAGGAAGATATTTGTGTCAATACTTCACATCCTGCATCCAACAGCTTACCTGGGAGATAGCTGCAATATCGTACCACTGCAAGAATATCAGGCCTAACTTGCTTGTGGGAGTGGGGACTGTCACCAAGAAAAAGAGGAGGAAAGCAGGTGCACAGTGCTCTTGCCAGCAGCTAGCTGTTTACATACTATAACAAGGCATGGCACAAGCAGGTGATGGGAGGAAGGCCTACCCTGACCCACAGCCACCTCTTCTGCGACCCCAGCCTAGCCACAAGGATGCAGGGGAGACTAAGGAAACTGAATAGCTATGGGGCTGTTTTCTAAAAGTGCCCAAGGGGCTTAGGAGCCCTTTTTCAGAAGTACTGGCAGCCCAAATGTTGCCATGCTGTTTGTTTTACCTAATACCCAATTTACAGGGATCTTTATGCACTCACAACCCTTTGAGTTTCAGGATATTGCAGAGAGGAGCATAGCACAGCAAAATGTTATCTAGCTTTAAAAAAGCTGGTGCAGGGTTAACTCAAGAGCAAGGTTTTTCTCACCTTCTCAGTAGTTTCCATACCTGTGTCATGGACAGCTTACCTGACTGTGGAGAAGCATCCAGACTGTCTCTGTGTAGAGCCTGAAGTATTGAAGAGGCAAAATCTGTGCAGGATTTTCTTGATCAGCCAGGTTGTAGCAATTAAACAGGTATTTCACAAACAGCTGGGCTGTCCCTGCAACAGGATCAAGAAGCCCAGAGATAACAAGAGTCACTACAGCCATCCTAAGGTAAACCATTCCCACTCATGAATCACATCTCCCAGTATCTCTTCACTTCGTTAGCTTGCTGAAAAGCTGCAGGAGCCTGGATTCCTACAGACATATAACCTTTGAAAATGGTATGGAATTGTCTCCAAAAATCATACCAAGAATTTTTGCATGCTGCTCAGAAGAGCCCAGACTTAGAAAATAACCACATAGATCTGGAAATTAATTTCCAGTGTTCATTCTTCTAAACTTTCCATTTTTTTCTGACTTGCTGCAAGTCTGATTGAGTTATTTCAGAATGCAGCTAAGAAGCCAAGTCAGAAAACCTATTAACAGTGTCAACAAGACACAGCTGATTGCCCAGAACAGTTGACGCACAAACCCACAGAGATTTAAAAAAAATCCCACAAAAAACAGTCTGACAAACTTTAAGAAAAATGGTGACCTACAAAGATACTTTTTTCCATCAATTTCAAAAGGCAAATGGTAGGTGTGACCAGAACTGTGACCTTTATGAAACAGAGTTCTCTTGTTTAAAGTGAAGCACTTTTTTTCTTTTTTTTTTTTGTGTTTAACCAAAGGTAAATATAAAGTCTTTATATACAACAATCCTGACAATTGAAGCATCAACAGTACTGAAACGTGTATTATATGGTAGTGGTGAGCTCTGCCTCTGTCTGGGAGTTAGATGTGGGTAGGGAGAAATGTCTCATAGGATTTCCAAGGCTTCCACCTACTGCAAAATTATTTTCAGCAACACAGAAAGGAGGATTGTATTTGTTACTGGTCAGATTTTGCTGTCACTCACCATCAGCAAAAAAGCCCAGAAAAGCAACATCTGCCCCCATGGGGATCAATTCCTGAAGCAACCCGTGCCATGGGCCTCCAAGCTGAAGGATTGCCTGAGACTCCTTACTCTGACCATCCATCAGGCTTTTCTGCTGCTAACAGTTGAATTAGTCCCTTGCTCCAAGCACAAAGCTGCAGTTTCTGATCTTTGAGCAGGGCAGGTTTTCCCCAAAGGTCTGTCTCCTTGGGTCACAGTGAGAGGCCTGCCAAGCCATGGGCCTTCCCAAGCAGACGAGTCCCACACAGTCATCCCCGCACTTTCAGGAATTCTGCCATGTATTTATTTTGCATGACAGACCTGGCTTCAGCTTTTCTGCAAGTTCTTCCTGTCCTGTACGTGACAGAGCCAATGTACCAGGTTAATCTCATGATCTTTTTTATACTGGCCAACTGCAGTCTTCTACCTGCTTTGTCTGCTGTTCTGATTCCTCAACACTGGCTGCAATGGAAAAGGAAAATTAAAAAGCTAGTGTGCAAATACAAATCCAGTGGGTTTATATCCACCACAGCCTGGTCTTTGACCCCACAGGGACAGGGGCTGCTAAGGCAACGTCTCACGGGTGGACGTGGCCCCCAGGAAGGTGCAGGGGAGGGCTGCATCCTTGGCAGTGCAGGGTCCCCACCCTCCCAGGCTGCTTTGAAGCCTTACACTTTGTTTTCTCTGCAAATAGACTAGGAATGACCTAACAAGCTCCCACTCCTTTGAGCTTAAGCAGTTTTTTTTGGTCCTGCCATGCCAGGAAAAAAAAGCCAGCAGGCAGCTTGGGTTTCTAGGCTACCAAACACACCGAGCTGCATAGCCAGGGACAGGCTGTGGTGGGCTACCACCATGGGCCACATCCAAAACTGTGATATTGCCAAAAAAGTGCCCGTAGGAATTTTTCAAAAATACCATCTTAGATGGTGTCTCCGTCGGGCCCATCACAAGCTGCTTTTCTTCTCCGTGAAAGCTGGCAGTGGAAAGAGACTTTGTTCTTCTGTGCAAAACCACAATGGGCATGGATCCCACCCTGCCTGCCCACCCTCTGTCCTTATTGCTCCTGGGTGAGGGAGTGGTAAGAGACAAAAGTCATCTTGCTCTGAATTTGTGAGTGCTGATTATTATTATTATTATTTTTGTTTTGTTTTGCTCAAACACCAGAAATTGAGTTTTGGGTGCATGTTGCCAATAAACCGCTCCCAGGCACCAAGTGCTTTACTTCAGTAAGTTTTGTGCGTCTAGAAGAAACGATTAGTTCCACTAGAGAGGTCCTTTTCTTTTAAATGGAGCATTATTTATCCCAACCAACAGATCTTTGTTCAGGTGTGTTTTCTCAAAGATACAAATGATAGATCTAGCCCATGGAAAATGCTGCTCAGAAAGGTGAATTTCCTGAGCAGCTGGGACTGTGACTACATGATTTCTCCCCAGGATCCTAACATGCCCGTTGCCCACAGCCCTGCATGCTTGGTGGGTAAATCACATTCTGCCTTTAAAAATTATTTTCCACCAATAGTTATTTTGGGATCAGAATCTTTCTCACAAGGCTTCTGGGTTTTGGTTTTCTTTTTTGTTTTATTATTTTTTTAATTATTTTTATTTTATTTTCTGTGCTTTTTTTGGGGGGAGGAGTGTCTCATGTGCAGTTTTACATCAGAACAGAACATTTCAGAAGGTCACTCTCTGAAAAGTGAGGGGTTTACCCTGTATCCCCTTCATGCCTGTGATGGTTTTACCCCTAAATGCAACAGAGTATGCTAGTATCTGGTCTGCCTGCATTGCTGTCATTGCATTGGGGCCAAAAAGGGGGAACCCTAGCTAAATATTGAACTTCAAGAATCTGCATAATACTTTGCACAAATGCAGAGAACAATTTTGACCAAAACAGTTTACGGTTTCTTTCATGTTTTTCTATTTTCTTTCCATTTTTCTTTCTTCCTAAGCCAGCTCTACTTTTCTCAATGTGAAACATATTCGCACCCTAGGTGCAGACTTTCTGGGAATGATGAAAATGAGGTTTGGGTGTTGATAGCAGTGTTTGAGTGAACTGCTGGTCAGAGAAGTGAATGCTATTTACTATTTATGTTGAGTGAGTCTTACAAAAAAAAAAAAAAAAAAGGAAGGGTCACTGGAAGGTTAATGAACGAAAGTCTTTGCAGAGCAAACTGAGGACTGAAGGCTGTGTGAATCTGAGGTAGACTGTGAGTGGTTCTGTGTGTGAGCACTGTGAGCTAGGATACTTAGCCATTGTACTTTAACTTGCCTTTTTTTCCTTCCCTGCAGGGAAGGGCATCCTTGCCTTCTTTAGAGCTGAAACAAAGTCAGGTCCATCCTCTGTCACAGTCACTCAGTCCCACTGAAGTCAGCGGACCTCAGCGTTCCTCAGGCTTGCAGGGGACTCTGTGCAGAGCTGTGCCTGTGTACAGAAAGGGGAACAAGTTATAATGATGGATCTTGGTGTGGGATATTCACATTTCTACTGCCAGATAGTCTGCTCCCTGAGGATTACCCCATCACTCACAAGTTCTGAACATATCCCCTGCAGCTCACCAAAAACCATTGTATTTGATGTCTTGGGAGGCACTCATTCCTCTTCAGATACTGTGATGGCCAAGAAAATGAGCAAAGTATCCTGCCATGTGAATCGTGACCTGAAGATGGGGTTGAAAGATGTTTGAGGGTTAGAGAAGGGAGAACATATTACTGGTGGAAATGCAGAAGGATGTGTCATATTTTTATTTTTGTAAGTCTGATTCTCTAAGTGCTTGTGAAGTACTTGACTGTTGTATATGTGGTGATGCAGTAGTTCTCAATATCCTTTTATTTTTGTATATTCCCCATCTCCACAATAATCCCTTCCTGTTCAACTCATAGAGAGTAATTTAAAAAGACAAAATTTATATATCATAATAAAATGTGCAAACTGTCATGCTGATGTATGTGAGCTTCCTTCATCTTCCTTACCCATTTTCTTGGTGCCTAATGCTGCTTTCCCATCCAGAGGGAATGTTTTTGGTGTCTTCCTCCCTCGCCCATGGGATTTAGCCCAGCTGCCCCAGGTCAGGAGGCTGTGGACCCATACGGGCAGTGCCATGACCTGACACCTGCTTTGTCCTGTGTGCCCAGTGGAAGTTTAAGTGACTCAGGCAAAGGGCAAGAAACTCACGCTTCCTGCAGAGGCTGTTTTATTCTTCAAGATTTCACTGGTCAGCAGTTTTACAATTTCTTCATCTTAAATTTCCCTCTTCCTGCTCAATCTTGTTCTACCCAGCTATGAAGCCCTGGTGCTCAGTCTAGTTAATTCCTCTCCCAGCTTTTCCATGCCCTTCAAGGGCAGGCAGAACCACTGTAATGCTTCTTTCATGGCCAGGTACCCACATCCTCGTACACTGCCAGGGCCCATGCTACTTCCTGGCTTTCCAAATCACGAAGGCAGATGGGTTGCATCAGGGCTAAAACCCTGCCTAGCCATGAAATATGTTTTAAACCCATTGCTATAAATGCCTGGGGCTCACCAGCCAGCTATTAGTAGAGCTCTCAGCTGTCTTCCAAGACCTAAGATGTCTGCAGGGAGAATCTGACACTAATCCTTATGGAAAAATCATATTGGATTTATAGGGATGAAGTCAATAGGCTTGGATGAAAACGGCTGTTAAATGCTAAGGAATGGAAAGGAGAAGGAAAGCCACGTTACGCAAGAGGCTTGCTTCAGGTGCACGGGAAATGCCCGTGTCCTCATCCCAAGTTTTTTTTGACACAAATTATGGCTGAACTGCTCCTAGGATGAAGGATGGGAGATGCTCATGCTCAAGCACCTGAGGAATGGCAACAGCATAGCAAAGGCAGGGGATGCACGGACTGGGCAAGTCTGATGGTCGAAACCCAAACGCCAGACGAAGGACACGTGCATCCACTCCTGTTATTTAAATAAAACCGTAAGACATGAATGCCGTCCAATGAAGATTCCTGAGGTGGCAGCTAAATCCTCAGAAGCAAAAGCAGTATTAGATGCAGGATATGTGTTTTGGCAAGCGCACTCTGATGAGCTAACTCCTAGTGGCTTTTACTGTGCCATTTGGATGTTGTAAATTTAAGCAGATGATGCTTGGTATTAGTTTTGCTCCTGGGATATTTCAGAGAGTAATTGCACATATCTCTGAGGGATTACAAGGTGCTGAAGTTATAATGGATGGACTTTGAGCTTGGATGAGATGCCTTTATGAACAGAAGGAAAGGTTTAGGCTGGTTTTACAGACAGCACGAATGCTGCGTTGAAGTGCCAAAAGCCTCACCTAGAGAAGTTGCTGATAATGGGCAGATACAAATTAATAATACTAAAATCCCACATGCTGGGATCCCAATTCCACCGATGCCTTTATCAGTCTAACTCCACAGCTATGTACAGCCAAGAAACAGTGAAGGGATTTGACAGAAAAAGAATCTGACCTGATACTGGAGTAGCAAAACCTTGCTGCCAGTCTGCCAGCTTGGAACTGCCACGTGCGAGGCCTTGGGCTCGATCTCTGCTCCTTTGGCTCAGCAGATGGCAATGTCACAGCCTGGACCCACAGAAGTGTCTTTGGAAGATCTAGGCAGTACCAAACATCAGGAGAGTTGTGTCACAGTCCTCAGAACGGTCACAGGCCTGTGCCTGTGCAGAGGAACGACCAGCAGCACGCCTGGGCTGAGGCACAGACTGCCTCTGCTGCGGCACAGGACATTGAACGGCCACCAAAGGCAGCTCTGTGGGGAGCAGACGTGGGTGGGTGGCAGGCTGTCACTGCAGCACTGCGGTAGCTCCCAGACCAGTGGCAGATAAGCGCTGGCACCCGACTCCTGCCTGCTCCTGCCTCTCCTGGCTTGTTGCAGAGAAGGCCAGGACCTGCCCGGCCCTGCACAGCTTCTGCACCGAGTCCCCTTCCTCTGACAACATGCTCAGCCGCAGGGGGCAACTGATGCAGGAATAGTTTGTTCTCAAATAGGATAGAGGGTCCTGGAATTGTTTTTTTGGGGGTGTAAGGATGGAGTTTTTATGAGCTCCATTTTCTGCTTCTAATAATGATGCTGGATCCAAACAGCTCCACGCCTCAGAGTCCAAGGCAGACAGGGAGTTCACATCTATGAGGATGAAAACGCTCGTCCTGCCAAGCCTTTGATGCTCATCGTATCCTTCCTACCCAGCAAACAGGCGGACAGCACATTTCTAGCATAAAAATATCCTCCTCTGCAGTTAACCACCTCCAGATTCCCTTCCTGAGCCCATCCTAGCCCGGTGATTAGACATTTCTGTACACATAAACATCCAAATCAGCTCCCTGGGGCTCTTCCTCTCTCACAAGCAGATCCTGAGACCAGCGGCTATTTCCAGCTCCTTGAAATACAAATGGGATCAGGGTTTTTCCAAGCTGACCACTGCAGTCAGGGGCCCACTGCTCCATGCAGAGCACTGTGCTTGCTCCCTGGCCATGCAGCCCCCCAGCACATCACCCATCACTCTGGGGATCAAGCCGCTCCAGGTGCCCTGCTCATGGTTTTGGGAGGCAATGCCAAGGGGCCACGTGCCCTGGGAAACCTACGGTGGCACCAGGACATGCAGTAGGGGTGCACAGAGGAGGGACAGTGCAAAGCACCCCAAGTGCAATGCAATGGAGGAAAGGGAAACACACACACAGACAAACATGCATGCAGGCACACGTGAGTACAAACTTCTCTTTGATGGGGGATTGTCGAAACGTTACCCTCCCTTGGGGCTCCGCAGTGAAAAAATCTGCTTATTCATAAACCAGCTAGAACCATCAATCCCCCATTTATCATTTTAACATAAATAATAAGGGCAAGAGGAACACGCCGGCAGGAAACCAGCTATAGATGTAGTGTTGAAATCTGCCCATTTCTTTTATGCATGCCCCACTTACTGATAATAAGCAGCGATCCAACCAATTCCTCATCTGAGTCCACAAGCATTGGATTACAAAGGACACAAGCCAACACCCTGCTTTATGCTAGTGGAAGGCCATTTGGGTGGGAGGCCAGCTAGGAGAACGCAGCAAATTTAAGAAAACACATTTGTCTTACTGACAAATGCCTCAGGAAATAAAAGCCTTCGTACTCTTCTTTGACCTCTTCCAATCACAGATGGGTTTTTGCCGTGCTTCCGACGGAGTTTGTTTAGCACCTGCCCCTCCAGGGCGTTCGCTGTAGGATGGTTTTAGGAAGGGGCTGCCCAGTGCCTGTATGCTCCCAAGGTGCTGATGCCCACTGCTGTGTTTCGGATGGGTGCCATGGAGCTACCAGCCCGTTGTGGTGCAGAGCTGGCCCTAAATTGGGTTTTAGCTTCGGGTCCAGCTTCCAGTGGGGCTCTATTGGATGGCAGCAGCACAGGCCTCTTAAAGCATCCTTGGCTGGTTGCTCATGGGCTTTGCCCTGTAATATAGATGGAAGCAGGGGATACAGCACCCAGAGACACCCACTCCCTGTCAGCTGGGAGAGGAATTGAGCATCTCCACTCCCTACAGCTCCAGCGGGAGCCCACTGTCAAAGAGAATGTGGGGAGCAGCCGAGCAGCACCCCAGGCTCGGGGTCCTTTGCTAAGCACAGTGCTGCTCTGCCTCTGGCTCTGCCCTTCAACTTTGCAGCCTGGGCCCTTTGCGAGTCCCCCAGCACTTGTAAACATTTTGGCAGCGCCAGCCCTGTGCGCAAGCCCCAGCCGTAGCCGAATGCACTGTTAACGAGCCACGTGTTTCGACAGCCTCCAGGCTTGGCACTGGACCCTGGGGACCCGGCTGAGCCCGGCTCCAGCAGTGCTGGGTGCAGCTCTTGGCAAAGCTCCGCTGGCAGAGGGGCGAGCACCTGGCTTGGGGAGAGCCCTGCTGTGTGCCCATGCCCAGCCCCTTCCCTGCCGCTCACCCCCTCCAAAGGTATCTCCTCGATGCGCGCTCAGAAAGAAAGAAAGAAAAAAATCTCCTATATTTTTAAACACTGCCTAATGGTGAGGAGTAACATCTGGAGCGCAGCCTTGCCCCTCACGCACAGTCCTCCCTGCGCAGCGAGCGGCTCGCCGCATCGCCCCACGAACCTGGCGGGACATTGCCCAGAGGGAAGCACGAGCTCCTCTGTGCTGGCCCTCCTGCACCTGCTGGTGGCCCGGGGACAGCAGAAGTGGCCGAGTGGCTACCAGAAAGCCCTGGGGAGGTGGGCGGCTGGTTAAAGCCCTGCTTGCAGCTGGGAGGTTCTTGGTCACTGAAAGAAACAGGGCTGCTCAGATCGCCCCCATTGCTTGTGCCTGTGCCTCCTGTGCTGGCCCCAGCTGGCCCATCGCCCTGGTGCACCCAGAACACGGGGGGCAGGAGAAACCCCACTTCCTTCAAGCCTGTTTCCAGCGAGGCTCTTCCAGCCAACATTAACACACGTTGCTTTACTTCCCAGCACGGCCCGGGGCAGAAAGGAACATCTGGACCTAATAAAAAGGTTGTTCCCCCTGCACAGAGACCCAGGAGCAACCTCTGCTGCGTGGTTCCAACCTCTGCCGCTTGGTTTCTCCTTCTCCAGTGGATGGAGGAGCAGCTCTGCAGGACGCTCCGGCAGCCCACGGGGACTGAACTTTGCCTGGTAGCTTAAAAGTGGGCCCAGTGCAGGGCAGTGAGATGGGTTTCATGTCTCAGGGGCCAGCACCACGTGAAATGGTTGTGACTTGTCATCTGGGTCTGGAGACGGGGCATAAGGATTTGTTGAACAGAACGGAGCTCTTTTTCTATTCCAAAACCACAAAAGCTGGAGATGGCTCTAACCCAAGGCCCGGGATTAACATCCCTGTGGGGAGAAGCTCTGATTCGGTCCAACTGGAATCCAGCTCCAGACCTGGCGCCCACCTCCAGGCACGCACCGGCCAGGCTCCTCGGGCCTGACCTCTGGCAGCCACTGCGCTTTCTC